TTAACATGTCGTGTTTAAAAGTGGTCCGTAAAGTGCTTCATGCATATTACGCTGGTGTCTAAATTGTATGGCTTCTCCTGCCGGCAGAACTCTACCCCCTTTCTGGCCAAGGCGTCGTCGCGGGGATACAAAAAAACTGCATTTGGGGGCTTTACCCCTACGGCTGCTGCAATTCAACACACGACACGACATTTTTATAAAGTTTTTATTACAAATAAAACGTTATTTACTTCAGAACGCACGAATTACCTTGATTTTTCACTTGAAAGTATACAATACGTTTGCAATACGTTTGCCATTGTTTCTAAACAAAAAGTTTGTTTACGTATTGCCATAAATGTCAAAGTCGGCAAAACCAAAGTAGCGGTTTCGGGAATGCGCCACCTTCAGTTAATTTCACCATGATTTGAACCGATTACATCGATAACTTTCACGATAACGGAGTCTCAATAGGTTCTTTCCCGTACGCAACGCGAGATCCCGCGGGTGCCCAAAATATACCAGAAATCATTCCCGTACTCAACAAAATGGGTAATAGAGAGCTAAAATTGGAACGTATTGGACCGTAAGTGTCTTTTTCTTCCTTCCCGAAACAGCCTTTTTCTCCGGGTGAAAGTGGATAAAGTGTCAAACTGCATATCAGCTGTTTTGTGTTTACATGTTGCCTGCAGTTACTTGGTGCTTTTAAGGAATAGTAAATGGCCTGTTGATGCATTTGCAATGTTTATATACTTAAATTAAAAATATTCAATTTCCAAGAGTTTGCATTTAAGTGACAACAACGCATATCAGCTTTTTCACAAATGCTGGGCACGAAATGTGGTTTTTTGCGTTCCCGTACTTCGGGATTATGTTCCATTTTTGAGAACAAACTTTTCGGTTATTCTCTAATTACCGGATCCGGTCCGGACTGTAACCGGCCGTCTTCACGTGCTGGAAAATCTCGCTTGCGTGACGACGCAAAGAACCGAATATAATAGAGAGATAAATAAAAAATTGCATTACCCTGCTTACACGTGCAATAAATTGCTTTCAACTTGACCGCACGAATGTATTAGTTGTCAGATATTAAAAACGTATAGCTGTGACAAGCAGTTTTATTTTCAAACAGCAAAACATTGTAAGTGAGATATGAGGTGGATGAGGTATTAAAATTGAACGAAAAATTGCCTTCTGAAAGAAAAATGGCTTTGAACTGGTAGGCATTTTGCAAAAGTGTGAGTGGCTTGGTATAAAAATATAAGTGTATGAAAATGGAAAGCAATTTTTTGAATATGTAAGTCTCCAGTAACCTCATCTGTAATTAAGATCAAGTAAATATAGATGGCTGAGTTTTTCAATAATGGACCATTTCCTATTTCAATCAAAGTATAGCGAAGTTTTTAATGAAATGTGGAGGGGTGTTGAGGAAGTTTTAAAGTTATTTGTTGTTAAAATTTCCCATTACTGCACTTTTCCATATAAACACTGCACTAATCACTTTTCCTGCATAAACAAAAGAATTAACTTTTTTTTACTTTATATCTAACAATCAATGTTTATAAAAGTGTTCTTTAAGTAAGTTCCTATTCGCAAACAAGTTGAAAAACACAATTTCATCGAAGTTATCACAAGCATTCTTTCTTTCAAAAGAAAATTTGATAGAAACTATTATCTACGCCTCAGGGGTGCTTTTGACTGGCATCCAAGTTATCTCTGTGATTTTAAATAGAAGACGCCACATTGGCAATGTATGCATTGCCGCAGCTGATAAAATTCACCCAACTCTCAACTTTTAACGTATGCACACGAGGCAAAACAACGACAACAAAAATGTATGCAACAAATTCAAATCAGTTTGTTTGCGACAACGTTTTAATGGTGCCGTCTCGCCATCTTCTATGCGTTTTGTCAGTCAAAAGCATCCCTGTGATGCAAAAAAGATTTTCAATCTGGCCGGGCCTTTAGTGGTTCAATAAAAGTTTTGTTTAATGAGCTGCTCTAGGTTACGCCAGATTAAGATATCTCACAAAATTGTGTTTCTTGAGGATTTTTCTTGCTCTAACTTACTCTCTTTTTTGTGTCGTTAGCCTGCGCTAAGTGAAACTAGAGCAACTTAGAGCACGATTTTCTGAACCAGCTTTTTTGATGGAGTAACTTAGAGCAAGCAACTGTGTTGAGAATTTCTGCCTGAAAAGTGTTTCATGAGAATTCTGATCTGAGTTGCTCTCAGTTGCTCTATTTTTCTTTTGACAGCTGCTCGACTCTGCCCTAATTTGACCTGCCCTGCACTTTTTTCGTAAAATTTTTTTTTTTAAGTAAAATTATCCAATATTAAAACGCTTTAAAACGTGTTGTCATGTTGAATGAACTTTTCATTAGTTAAAGAAACGTGTAAAATAGTGGCGCTTGTGGTGTAAGCAAATGATCAGCTGACGAATCCGCAATGGGAAACTTTTTTGCTAAAACCAATTACATGTACAAGGTCGCGTTCTTGCGTGATCTTTTATTTTTGGTTCATGTTGCATATTACTACTTGTTCCCTTGCTACTGAAGCAATACAACCCTGCGAGATTCGAATTCACTGAACGTACGTCTTGTATGGCAATGAATGTCAGATGAAATTTCTTAATTTCTTTTTTGGCATTGGGAAAAAGAAAATTGTGATACGCTGGTTGGCAGCTTGTGAAAAAATAGAATTTTAATTATGGTAAAAAATGTATTTGTAATTACTTAACATAATAAATTGTAAAAGCGAATAGGACTTTTTAAAATGTGTAATCCCAGTAGTGTGCGCTTTTTTGGTTTGGTGCTGACGCAGCTGAATTGTGAGACGTAATTTTCTGTAGGAAAAAATTTTTCGTTCGACCTGAAGAGGCGGAACTCCACACTTGCCCAGAAGGCTCAAAAAATTATTACCAAAAAAATATCTATTGTGGAAACAACGAGGTAGAAAAATGTCTTCTGCATCAATATTAAGTGTAATTCAACAT